TTGTTTTGGTCGTGAGGCCCCACGTTGGGCGCCAGTTGTAACGAACCCTTTTTCCGGGTCTCGTGACCTGTGCTGGGCTGACTCAGCGGGAAATTGGGTGGTTGCAACGAATTTATATTGTTGCCTCGACGACCAAGTAAAAACACAGGATTGGTTTATTTCTGACAATTGGGGTTTTATTCAATATTAATCTCTATCGCTTAGCCTAGCTTATGGCTATGTTACCGCTATCTTGTGACCTGTCGATTTCTGACGGTTGGCTCCGGGCGTTGCACGTTGGTGCCGCTGAACTGGGGCAATTGATCTTAATCCGCCACACCAATTCCGCACTCCAACGGTTCGCCTTTCTCTACCTTAACCTCGTCCGAAAATCTGTTGTTCACTCTGATTATGCAAGACTCACTCTGAGCATTCGATGTCGCGGGTCCCGTTACGATTTCCGCTATTATGCACTTCGATTCACTTATTCACCCGAACACTCGGCCTAGCTCTTGGGCTGCTCACGCGTGAAGCTTCCCTCGCTTGGCGGCCACCCTCCTTATATAGGCGCCGGCTAACGGTTCTAACACGCGGTCAGTGTTTTTCCATCGGCGATTCTGATGCTTTCTCCCTTCTTCGTAACTGGACCCCGATTCCATGGCCATATTTGGTCATGCGTTCGTCCGCTGCCGGCCCGATCCCATCCTTCCCCTCTATTCTGCTCCGCCATCTTGGGCTCCCCGCTCTCTGAGCGCCTCTTCTAAATTCGCCGTGTTCGGATATCCGAGCCCCTGGCTTTAACCCTCTACAGCCTGTGAGGGACACGTTCCCTCACAAAACAAAGTTTTTTACAACCATATCTAAGATACTTAAGTTAAGTGTTGAAACAAACAGCTAACTTTGAAAAAAGGCTTACAAAATACCAGATTTGGAAAACTCTTAAAAAAAAAGTTCTGATATAGACGACAGTAATTGTTGTCTCGCCAAGGTTAGGTTGAGGCGGTCGTGGTTTTTGAGGTTTACATTCAGTTTTGATCTGATTTTTTTTCACAGAACCTTTTAGTTAATGTGCTGTTAGTATTTCGGTAAGGCCGAATAGTTTTTTTGCGTGATCTTTACCTGAATCACCTCTGAAATGAAATGAGTTAATTAATGTATGTACATATGTATATATTTTTATACCCGCTACTCGAAGAGTAAATAGGGTATATTGTATTCGTGCACAAAGTGAATGTATGTAACACACAGAAGGAAACGTTTCCGACCCCATAAAGTATATATATTCTTGATCAGCATTAATAGCCGAGTCAATTGAGCCATGTCTGTCTGTCCGTCCGCCTGTAAGTCCGTCTGGTTGAGCGCCTGGATCTCAGAGACCATAAAACCTAGAGCCACCAAATTTTGCATCCAGAGTTCTGTATGCTCACACTGTTACAAGTTTATTTCAAAAATGAGCCCACCCCCTTCCGCTCCCGCAAAAGGGGGAAAACCTCCCAAATCTAAAATTTTAAAGATAAAAGAAAACTAAAAACGCCAACAGATCACCAAATCGGGATCCGATCGGATCATTAACATAGCAAGAATGAAGAAATTTATTTTCAGTGGCTGAACCCACCCTGTCCCACAGCTTTTGTTGTTCTTTCACATTCTCTCATTCACACTCTGCTTCTGCTTCACTCGGCTTCTGCCCCTGCCCATGCCTATGCGACTTTTAACCCACCCCGGCCGGCAGCTAATATTTGTTTTTTTTTTGTGTGCGGGCGCTGGCTCTGCCTCTGCCGCGAGTCAGCAGTATGTGGGTCTAGGGAAGGGCGGCGATCGTGTTGGTGTGAGTAGTGTTGTAGATGTAGATGACAGATGAAGAAAAAATTTAAAATTTGATAAAACACCGCTGAGGTGCAGATTCACTATTGTCCCAATGACCAGTTTTGGTGGCCAAAAGCTAATTTTTAAAAGTTAAAACCAAGACTCGGGTTTTAACGCTCTGTATTAGAAAAAGAGCGTACAAGGAATTTTCATAGATGGCGCCACTTTCAAAAAATCTGCTGTGAAACCTAGCGGTCATTATTTAACAGAATGTGCAGGGAAAAAGTAACAATTTTATTGCTGTTTTAAATATCTCAAAAATTGGAAAATACGATTAACTGATCCAATTTTTTTTTATGCATTTTATTTAGTAGGCTTTTTACTACGTGTTCTGTAATGTGAACGATATCTAGTGGTTGGCGATGGGTGGGTTTAGCCACTGCAAATTAATTTCTTCATTATGGCTATAATAATGATCCGATCGGATCCCAATTTGGTGATCTGTTGGCGTTTTTAGTTTTCTTTTATCTTCAAAACTGTAGATTTGGGAGGGTTTCGCACTTTTGAGGGGGCGGATAGGGGGCGTGGCTCATTTTTGAAACACGCTGGTTTCAGCGTGAGCATATAGAAGTCTGGATGCAAAATTTGGTGGCTCTAGCTCTTATAGTCTCTGAGAACTAGCCGACAAACAAGACGGACAGACGGACAGACAGACATGGCTCTATCGACTCGTCTATTGATGCTGATCAAGAATATATATACTTTATGGGGTCGGAAACGTTTCCTTCTGTGGGTTACATACAACCGTTATTCCCCACAAATACAATATACCCTATTTCCTCTTACAAACGAGAAGGGACGTGTGAGACGCTTCTTTCGCGTCACAACTTTTATACCCGGTTATATATAAAATTTAAAATTTGTTTTTCATCTTTCATCTACATCAACAACACTACTCCCGCCAACACGCTCCTTTAGCTCGCCACCCTCCCCTAGACCCACACACTGCAGAGTCAGGGCAGAGACGCGGCAGAGGCAGAGATGTATGTTTGTTACATACATCCACTTTTTTAACAAATACAATATACCCTATTTACTCTTCGAGTACCTGGCATAAAAATCCTAACTTACTCTAGTTGACATTTGTCATCGCTGATTTCTGGTACTGCAGGGATGGGACATGCATCTACAAATGTACACATGCATACAATTACGGGTGTACATACATATATGTACATATGTTAATAGCTGCGAATCAATACAAATCGGAATGCAAACATGTTGTGGGACATCAATGAACATTGAATACCTTTTTAAAATATTGATACAAATCGGATTATTACATTATCTACATGCATGTACATATGTACATACATACATGTGTACATGCATATTTATGTATTTGCTTCTTTCTTCACCTTTCATTCATTATTTATTGGATCTTCAGAAAACAAAACAATAATTAGTCTACGAGTATTAAGGACTGCTAGTTTTCAAATCTCTGGGTAAGCACTGCCAATCAGGTTCTTCCCTCGGTAGCGCCAAGAGTAGGTGACGATGCCGAAATTGCTGCTGCCCAGGGAGACGGGGCAGGTGCGGTCCGGGCGCAGCTGGAAGCAGACCGTGTAGAGGGCCAGCTCCAGCTCCGGCGAGGTGCCCACGAAGAGCGTGTTCACGGGCTTGTTCTGTCCCTGGTGCGTGAAGCGGATCTTCAGCACCTTCCCTTTCTGAAAGTATACATACATATTTTTGGATTGCTATGGATAAGAGCCTAAGCCAGAGCCTATGTAGGAGTGTTTCTTACCGTGCCAATGTCCTGCTCCTTCATATAGCCCTTGTAGTCGAGGCGGCCCGCCTGCTCCTCCTCGCTGATGTACACCCAGTTGTGGAATCCAATGATAGTTCCGTTCTTTACCTCGTAAACGAACACGTGCTCGAAGCCGGAGCTTCCGATCTTGCCCTGCCCGCGCGAGTACTGGGTGAACCACAGTTCCTTGACCAGGTCACGGTGCGTCTTGGGATCGGGCGTGACCATGCCCTTCTGATGCAGGAACTGCATAGCATGCCGCATCACCGGCGTGGCCATCACTGCGTCCAGGAACTCGTTCTCCTCCTTCCGCTCGTTGGCCGTCACGTGCTCGTTGACCAGCGTGTCATGCTCGTAGTTATTGAAGAGCAGCTTCATCTTGGCAATGGTCGGTGCCTCGAAGGCCTTTGGGTCTACCTGGAGGAGTCTGAAAATATAATATATCTTGTATTATTACCTGCCTGAGGAACTCGGGCGAACTTACGGATTGGGGGCCTCGTCGGCGCTGTCGATGGAGCGCGTTCGCCCCTGCAGGTTCACCTGCACGAGGCTGACATGGCTGTTGCTCTCCTTGGTGTATAGCTGCTCCGTCAGCTGGCGGATCTCATCGTCGCTGGCCACCGAACTGCCAGACGACTGGAAGCCAGGCCGAACTGCAGTTGTGGAAGCTCCGCTGTGTCCTCCCGTCCCCCCCGTGTGCGGCAGAAAGGACACTCCATTGGCAGTCCTCATAGTGGTTGTGGGCTGAGTCGAGTGAACGGGGGCTGCTGGGTGCACGGGCGTGGGCAGAGGCGATGCCCAGGCAGAGGAGGCAGAAGGAGTTGGAGACGGAGTGGGAGTGGGAAGAGCAGTGGGAGAGGAAGGTGCACCTTTTAGGGATGGGCGACGGGGAGCAGGCAGAGCCGGGAATTCCTCCTTCGGTGGATGCGGCTGCGGCTTTGCGGTTGTTGTTGATGTTCCGAATCGGACATCAATTGATCCAGGCTGAACATTGGGCGTCTTGGGTCGCTGGGTAGTTGTGCCCTTGCTGTTGTCCAGCGGATCCACTGCCGGACGTCCCGCACCGCCACCGCCGTAGCTTAACTCGAAGCTGTTCGGTTCGGGCTTTTGGGGGTGGTAGGGGGCGAATCCTGGTGGCAAATTGGGTGCTCCGCCAGCTTCCTGTGGCCGGTGAGGGGGCGGCTGGTGTGGCGACTTCGTGCTGGTAGTGAAATGACTGACGCCCACTCCGTCAGTGGGCCACTGGGGACGGCCAGCAGCTCCAAAAGGGGAGGAGCTGGGCGTATCGGGCCGTGGACCCAACGGCATTAAAGGAGCATGGGAGATCACCAGTGGTGGAGGCTTCTGGGCGGCCTGGGAGGGAGTTCCTGCTGCGGTTGTCGATTGCGATGTCAATGTCGAGGTCGATTTCGAGGTAGTAGTGGCCTCCGTGCTGGTTGGATCGCCGCTACTGCCAAAGAACTTTTTGAAGCCGCCGAACCAGCTGGACTTCTTTGTCGTAGCCTCAATCACATCCAGCGGGTCTGGCGTGACCTCGATCTCGCTCTTGTAGCCTGCTGATATATACATATATCATTACATATATATGTACATAAAGGTTATACATTTGTAAATATACATATGTCACTAAGTGTTTGTCTTACCTGCGATGTGCCAGTGCCCGGCAAGAGACAGGCACACGATGAGTGTACTCAACTTTAGGTAACGCATTTCGCACCTGATTTAAGTATTAACAGTTCGCCTTGGAACTTCTTCGGTTGGAATTTGTATTAAGCAACCCCAGCTAGATCCGGACACAGACACAACGCGACTGATCAGTGAGGAATTCAGTGCGCAACTGAGACTCAGCGACACACAGACCTCGAACATCGCCCTCGAACTCGGCCACGTTATTGGCTCCGCGTCGGCTGCGGCTACGGCCATGAAGCAATAATATAAGGAGGGGCCGTCGGTAAAATAAGGGAAACGTAGCAATGCTGTTAATAAGTTCGAGCGAAAGGGCTCTGCGCTGTAAGTGTAAGTGAAACGACAATGGAGTTATATATACAGTAAATATATACATACATACATATGTATTCACATTATGTGGGTATAGAAAGTAGTAACCATTTATATTTTAATGCATTCAACAAACATGAATAATAATCCTTACTGTCTTCGTTTACCCCTGAGAGTTAAAATATTTCGGGAACTATGAGTATTTCCAGTCGAATAATTCATCTATGATACATATGTTGTACATACATATGTATGTATGTACAACATTGCCACTTTTTCATTTCACGTTGTGATTTTACGAATCGTAGCTCAATCGGATTGCGGTGCTACCGGACTGCAGTTAGCTGTGGCTTCGGGCTGTGGGCTGTGGGCTGTGGGCTGCGGGCGATCTGTGGTTGGAGTAGGGGACAATGTATGGAAAAATTTAATTATCGAGCAGCCTCCATAAAAAAGCCATAAATAGTCAAAAACTAACCATTACCGAAAGGTATGGCGGAGGGATTGTGGGGGAAATTGAATTTGATTTGCACAAATCTGGCTCACAAAGGCGTTCCAATTAAATGTCGCTTACATAATGGCTGGGAACTTTGATTCTCTCTCTTTCTCTCTCTCTCTATTTACCGCCTTATCGCAAGTCTACCCGAATTCACTACTTATACAAACACAAAAATAATTAATTGCACTTGCCCAGCCCGGTCTCTCCTCGACCCCCTCTAATAAATGCGAATGAAACTGAAAACTCGAGTCGGAACCAGTGCCGCAACACTTCAAATACCCTCTCTACTCTTTATACACCATACAATATATATGTATGTGTGTGTGTACATGTGCTAGTACATACACATGTGCATATGTATGTACAGCCTTAATTTTTCTTCAAACCTTCGAAGTACCATCCATACGTATACATCCGTAAATGTACCATCCAAATGCAGGGATCTAATATACGAGTGTAGACTCGTAATCCTTGAGCACCGGGAGTAGAGACAAGAAGCAGCAGCCTGCTTATCTGCCTTAGAAAGGCCACCGTCAAAGGTCAGATTTGTATGCGCCTCCAGTTGAGCCCCAAATCAGGGATGAGGGTAAACAGATCTGCCTGTGTGCACATATGTACGTACACACAAAAATACATGTACCCCCTGTACATACATATGTACATGTGTATTTCTAAAGTGAGCAAAGTGCGTAATTTCACACTCTCTGAGCAAGGCATTCCTAATGTTAAAGCTACCTATCAAATAATTTTAACATAAGATTACATTAAGGTACACATGTACGTAAGTATGTACATACAGATACAAGGCATCCGTTGCCTCCGACTATATCTCGTAAAATGATGAAAAGTATAGTTTCGATGAAGCTCTACTGAGCATTTTGTTCCACTTTAAACATGGATCATTATTATAGCCAGAATGAGGAAATTAATTTTCAGTGGCTGAACCCACCCTGTCCCCATAAAGCAACTATATAAGGAGGCCACGTCGGTGGCAGAGTTACTCGATGCTTTACCCAATTCTCAGTGCACGTTTTCTTGTCGACGAGGAAGGTTGGTTGCGGACAAAATTTTTTTTTCAATTTTTTTTTAAATGTTANAACATCCATACGTATACATCCGTTAATGGACCATCCAAATGCAGGGATCTAATATACGAGTGTAGACTCGTAATCCTTGAGCACCGGGAGTAGAGACAAGAAGCAGCAGCCTGCTTATCTGCCTTAGAAAGGCCACCGTCAAAGGTCAGATTTGTATGCGCCTCCAGTTGAGCCCCAAATCAGGGATGAGGGTAAACAGATCTGCCTGTGTGCACATATGTACGTACACACAAAAATACATGTACCCCCTGTACATACATATGTACATGTGTATTTCTAAAGTGAGCAAAGTGAGTAATTTCACACTCTCTGAGCAAGGCATTCCTAATGTTAAAGCTACCTATCAAATAATTTTAACATAAGATTACATTAAGGTACACATGTACGTAAGTATGTACATACAGATACAAGGCATCCGTTGCCTCCGACTATATCTCGTAAAATGATGAAAAGTATAGTTTCGATGAAGCTCTACTGAGCATTTTGTTCCACTTTAAACATGGATCATTATTATAGCCAGAATGAGGAAATTAATTTTCAGTGGCTGAACCCACCCTGTCCCCATAAAGCAACTATATAAGGAGGCCCCGTCGGTGGCAGAGTTACTCGCTGCTTTACCCAATTCTCAGTGCACGTTTTCTTGTCGACGAGGAAGGTTGGTTGCGGACAAAATTTTTTTTTCAATTTTTTTTTAAATGTTAATTTTTTCAGAAGACAGGCTACTATTATGTAGCAAACTATTAAAAATTAAAATATGAAACAATTATTATGTATTTTCACATTGCTTTCAAATGATTTTTTTTTTTTTTTTTTGAGGTTTTAAGTTACCGCTCTACCCTTGGGTAGAGGGGAATTATTTGGCCACCCGCCTTTACAAGGGGGAAATCGCCACGTCGTAATATGTAACTTGTTACAGCTTGCTCCAATACTTACCTGGCGTAGAGGTTATGTTCCCCACGTGCTTGCAGTGTGCCCAGACACTTTGCACTCCGTAAAAAAAAAAAAAAATAAATAAATTACTTTAGTTTCTTTGAGTTTGTTATGCTTTCAAATGATTAATCAGCACACTCCATTGTCGTTGCCCTTACACTTACAGCGAGAGCCCTTTCACTCGCACTAGTCAATAATTTTTTTCCGACGAGACCTCCTTATATAGTTGCTATGCTCTGTCTCGCAGCTTTTGTTGTTCTTTTTACATTCTCTCATTCACACTCTGCTTCTGCTTCACTCGGCCCCTGCTTCTGCCCTCCCCCTGCCAATAACTCTTCCGACTTTTAACCCATCCCGTCCCGCAGCTTATTTTTGTTTTTTTTTTGTGTGCGGGCGCTGTCTCTGCCTCTGCCGCGAGTCTGCAGTGTGTGGGTCTAGGGAAGGGCGGCGATCGTGTTGGTGTGAGTAGTGTTGTAGATGTAGATGACAGATGAAGAAAAAATTTAAAATTTGATAAAACACCGCTGAGGTGCAGATTCACTATTGTCCCAATGACCAGTTTTGGTGGCCAAAAGCTAATTTTTAAAAGTTAAAACCAAGACTCGGGTTTTAACGCTCTGTATTAGAAAAAGAGCGTACAAGGAATTTTCATAGATGGCGCCACTTTCAAAAAATCTGCTGTGAAACCTAGCGGTCATTATTGAACAGAATGTGCAGGGAAAAAGTAACAATTTTATTGCTGTTTTAAATATCTCAAAAATTGGAAAATACGAACTGATCCAATTTTTTTTTTTATGCATTTTATTTAGTAGGCTTTTTACTACGTGTTCTGTAATGTGAACGATATCTAGTGGTTGGCGATGGGTGGGTTTAGCCACTGCAAATTAATTTCTTCATTATGGCTATAATAATGATCCGATCGGATCCCAATTTGGTGATCTGTTGGCGTTTTTAGTTTTCTTTTATCTTCAAAACTGTAGATTTGGGAGGTTTTCGCACTTTTGCGGGGGCGGATAGGGGGCGTGGCTCATTTTTGAAACACACTGGTTTCAGAGTGAGCATATAGAAGTCTGGATGCAAAATTTGGTGGCTCTAGCTCTTAAAGTCTCTGAGAACTAGCCGACAAACAAGACGGACAGACGGACAGACAGACATGGCTCTATCGACTCGTCTATTGATGCTGATCAAGAATATATATACTTTATGGGGTCGGAAACGTTTCCTTCTGTGGGTTACATACAACCGTTATTCCCCTCAATTACAATATACCCTATTTACTCTTACAAACGAGAAGGGACGTGTGAGACGCTTCTTTCGCGTCACAACTTTTATACTCGGCTAGTACTGAGTGCATCTGCACTGAACGAATCAAATGAATCTGTTGATGTAGATTCACTTGGTTCTGGTGATTGTCAATATGACAATCGTATGCTGAAATATAAATGTGTATGCTACCAGTTCACGTACTAGTAACAAAATGTCGCCGCAATTGGTACTTAAACAAATTGGACTTCGGAGATGTGAATTGATTTGATTTGATTTTATTTGGTAAAATGTGCGGTATATATACAGTTTCTAATAGTACAATTGTTTACTTAGGATCATATGCTTAATTTATTAGTTCTAAGAAGGATATTTGTATGACTGTCGTAAAACGATGCAGATGGTGTGACATTTTACAACTGCAGATCCTCTCGAATGTAATTTATGACTGTGTTATGCACGAGCATGTGTTATGCAGATGCATCCAGCTGTCTGTTGAATACTTATTTAGGTCAGCGGTGCATATCTCATATTTCTTGTGTTAGTTTGAGAATATTTATATGGGTTACTGAGAATTCCCAACAGACCCAAATTTAGGTCTAACCATGCGGTTTGATGTTTAAATCTAAATCGTACATCCTCCCGGCCGTTGACCATGGTATGTTCAACCATCATTAATGTTGATTGTAAACGGCTGACTTGGTGTGTTGCCTCCATTCGCTGATGTGGTAGGTTGTTGTATTGGCTGCGAAGTATTCCTGGCTTTGTTCCATTTCTTGACCAAATGAACTATTACAATGATCATTATGAAGATCATTGCAATGTATATGGCAATATGGTGATGACCGATATTTTCAAGGTTGTGGGGTAACTTGAAACTATTCGGTGGTAACAGCCTTGTTTCCATTTTATACAGCTCCTTGTAATTTAAATTCTTTTCGTTAGTTGAAGCTGTATCTGTCGGACGTTCAGTTGATGTTTTGTTGATGTCATTTTCTCCGAATCGAGCGTATGACAAATGCCATGTCGTCTCCATTGTGCTTTGA